ACTCTTTCCTGCATCAGTTTTTCTCAACTTTGGTTCTTTTTTGTTTTGGAGAGGTTTCTGCCACAGGGAGTGTGCATTCGCCAGAAAGAGAGAGACAGAGAGACAGAAAGCAAGAAATCACACACACACACACCCCAGGGGAGATGACCACGCCACAATCGCTTCTTCTCCGTTCTCCTTTCGGGATCTTGGGCATGCACGCACATGCGCCCAGCATGAGTTTAAGCCGCCGGGTCCAGGACCCGAACCGCAGTCGACTACATGGGAGTCCAGCAACATAGCCATTATGCTAACTGCTGGTCCCTCAACTCTGGTTCTTGACACTGGTTCTTTTTTTTTTTAATTATTATTTATTTAATTTTATTTATTAATTCATTTATTTTAATGACGATACCAGAGAGAAGAGAAGGAAAGTGAGAAAGCACGCCACCAGGTCCAGAACTTGAACTGCGGTCAGCCATTTGGGAATGTCCAGCACCTTAACCATACCGCCTGCTGGTCCCTGACACTCTGGTTTTTGACACAGATCTTCTGTCCCCTAAACTTACTCTGTTCAATTCTACTTCTTCATTTGAATCTGTGCTGTTCTACTTAGCATGCCTTTTCCCCCTTATAATTTTAATCTTTCTGAAAATAAGTCTATCTATACTTGTCACCTCTCTGAAGCTTTCATCCACACACCCTTGAAATGCCATCAAACTTCATTCAAACACCAGTTAACTACTGTTCATATAACATCTACTACTTTTATTTTAGTTTCGTTTTTTGAGATTTTTGCTATAGGTCCTGTGTGCTTGCCAGAGAGACAAAAAGCAAGAAATCACTCCTGGGGGGATGGCCACGCCATAATCCCTTCTCTAAGGGGTGGTGGCCACACTACAGTCCCTTCTCCTCAATTCTCCTCTCAGGATTTTGGGCATGCATGCATACGTGTCTGGCATGAGGTTTAAGCCACTGGGTCCTGTGTTCAAACTGTGATCAGCTACATGGGAATCCAGAGACGTAACCATTATGCCATCTGCTGGTCCCCATATCTACTACTTTTAGATCAAGAGTTATATTAATTTTTTTGTTTGGTATGTGCAAGGCACTGTATTCACATAAATTTGTCTTAACTGTGCAAGGAGAAACTACATTTAGAGTGTGAGGACCATTTCTTTCTTTCTCGTTTTTTTTTTTGAAGAGGTTTTTACTATAGGGCACGTGCGCTCGCCAGACAGACAGAGAGAGACAGAGAGATAGAAAGCAAGAAATCACCCCCCCAGGGGGGATGGCCATGCTGCAATCCCTTCTCCATTCTCCTCTTGGGATCTTGGGCATGCACGAACACGCGCCCGGCGTGAGTTTAAGCCACCAGGTCCAGGACTCGAACCACAGTCGACTACGTGGGAGTCCAGCGACATAGCCATTACGCTAACTGTTGGTCCCTTTTATTTTTTTCCATTTCAATTCCTTCACAACTCCTGCTATAAAGTATTTACAACATACCCAGGAGCCAACAGGTGGCATGGTGGCAAGACACTGGACTTCCACATGGTTGATCATGGTTCAAGTCCCAGACCTGTTGGCTTGCTTTCTAACTTTCTCTCTTTCTGGTGGCAGATGTTCCCTATCGCAAATTAAACAATAATAACATAATTAAATAATTCTTTTTTGAGAGAGAGATTTTTGCTATAGGGCGTATGTGCTTGCCAAAGAGACAGAGAAGAAAGTGAGAAATCATCACCCAGAGGAGATGAGATGGCCACACCACAATCCCTTCTCTTCCATTCTGCTCTCAGGATTTTGGGCATGGATGTACATGTGTCCAGCATGAGTTTCAAGTGGCTTGGTCTGGGAAGTGCAGTAGACTATGTGGGAGTCCAGCGACGTTACTGCTATGCCATCTGCTGGTCCCAAATAATTAAATAATTCTCAAAGAAAAATAAGTACAACATACCCACACAGACATAGCCACATTAAAGCAATGCTCTTAAGATGTTCTGATTACTAGATTTTGCTCATTTTAGATACTGGAACTTTATACATTTAAATGATAAATATGACTACTGTCGAAAACATGTAACAAGTTATCCCAAATCTAGTAGCTTAAAACAAATACTTCCTCAATTTCTGTGGGTCAAGAATTCAGGAGTGGCATAGCTGGGCTGTTCTGTCGCAGGGTGTTTCATGAGGTGGCTGTCAAGCTATTGGCTGAGTCTACAGTTACCAAAAGGCTGTTTCTGAGACAGCTTACTCACATGACTGCTGACAGGAGGCCTCAGTTCCTTGCTGCATAAGTCTATCTGCTGCTTGGATGTCATGGTGTGACAGCTGGCTTTCCAAGAGAGTGAGCAAGGAGGAAGTCGCAATACCTTCTATGATATCATTTCAGAAGATGCAAATCATCACTTTTCTTTCTTCCTTCTGTTAGAAGTGAGTCACCCAATCCAGCCCATGTTCATAGAAAGGAACTGGACTCCACCTTTTGGAAGAAGTGCCAAAGAATTTGTGAACATATATTAAACTACCATGGGATATTTAATTATTTTAAGTATGTTCATTATAGAAAAATTAGAAATATAGACAAGAAAAAATCACTTTAAATTATACTATCCAATGGATTACATAACTACTTGGGTATATATTATTCCAGTCTTCAAAATATATATGAACTTTCTCTAAAAACAACTATGGAGCCCACCAGAGGCATAGTGGTCCAAACAGATGGATTCCATATGGCCTACTGTGTGGATCTAGGAGCTGCTTTCTCACTTTCTCTCTCTCTCTGTCTCTTTGGCAATTGCACATGCCCTATAGCAAAAATTGCTATAAAGAAAAAACCCTATATGTAACTGCTTTCACTTCATATATTTTCTATGTCAAAATTCATAACATTTCTAATGGCTGAATACATTTCATTTTATGTATGTATCAGAACCTATTTAACTAATACTTTTTTTAAAATTATTCATTTAATTTTATTCATTCATTTATTTATTTTAATTTGACTAGAAAGAGGGAAAGTGAGAAAGCAAGACACCAAGTCTGGGACCTGAATCATGGTCAACCATATGGGAGTATCCAGCACCTTAACCACCATGCCACCTGATGATCCTCCATATTTAACTAATTCTAACAGGGACCAGCAGATGGCGTAATGGTTACATCACTGGACTCCCATATAGTCAACTGTGGTTTGAGTCCCAGACCCGGCAACTTGAAACACACCGGGGATGTGTGCATGTGTGCCCAAAAACCCAAGAGGAGAATGGAGGAGAAGGGATTGTGGCATAGCCATCCCCCCTGGGGGATTAATGTCTCACTTTCTGTCTCTCTGTGTCTGTCTCTCTGGTGGGCACACACACCCTAAGGCAAAAACCTCTCAAAAAAAAAAAAAAAAACACCTTAACTAATTCTACATTGTAGAACACAGGTTACAAGTTTTCCCTATTTTGAGGACCAGCAGGTGGTGTGGTGGTTAAGGTGCTGGACACTCCCACATGGCTGACCACGGTTCAAATCCTGGACCTGGCAGCTTGCTTTCTCACTTTCTCTCTCTCTCTCTGTTTCTCTCTGGTCAAATTAAAATAAATGAATGAATAAATAAAATAACTTAAAAAAAAGTTTTCCCTATTTTATACATTTTCTTAAATGAACATCTCTACAGCTAATTTCTTTCCATGATCACAACTGTTTCTTAAATTCTTATATTCCTAGAAATGGAATTTCTGGAATGTAGTCTGCATAATTTAAAAACTTCTGATTCGTATTGCTTAATATGAACAGAATTCTTACTATAATCAATACATTCTGCCAAAAGATAGTTTATCTATATAATGCCTGCAAAATTTCTTTGTTCAAATTTTGATCACTGTAGCATGGCATTCTCTTTTGAAAAAGCAATGTAATACACTGTAAAGTTATATGTAACTCAATGTAATATAAACAAGATTATGATATAAATAAATTTTAAAAAACTGAACACAATAACAAAAAGTAAATTCTAAATCACATGGTATTCGTAAAAAAAAAAAAAATCTTTTTGATTACTGTAAGTGAATTTGTTGAGAATGACCAAAATTGTCATGGAATGAGAAGCTGTTATATAACTTTTACTAGAGAGTGAATTTCGGCACACCTATAACTGATAATAGGGCAGAATTCTGTATTTATTTTCAAGTTCCATTTTTGTCTTTAGCTTTAACTTTTTACATGTTCTTATTTCCTTTTGGTAATTTATCTTGGAAACCATTAAACATCAATATAGAAGATTCCTCACTCTTTTTTTTTATAGTTTGTGAATGTACCATTTTTTTTTAAATGTATTTTGTTTTACGACCTTTTTTTTTTTTTTTGAGAGGTTTTCGCTATAGGGCACATGCGCTCGCCAGACAGACAGAGACAGAGAGATAGAAAGCGAGAAATCACGCCCCAGGGGAGATGGTCACACCGCAGTCCCTTCTCCTCCATTCTCCTCTCGGGATCTTGGGCACGCACGCACACGCGGCCGGCATGAGTTTTAAGCCACCGGGTCCGGGATGCGAACCGCAGTCGACTATGTGGGAGTCCAGCAATATAGCCATTACGCTAACTGCTGGTTCCCACAACCTATTATTTTTAATTCACCATAGAGAGAGGGAAAGTGAGAAAGCAAGTCACCAGTTCTAGGACTCAAACCAGGGTCGATCATGTGGGAACCTTAACCACCATGCAACCTGCTGACCTCTGTACCACAATTTTTTATTTCTTTTACTTCCTTCCTTTTTAATTTTATTTATCATTATCGTTAATTTTTATTTGACCAGAGCAAGACACAGAGAGAGAGAGAGAGTAAGAAAGCAAGCTGCCAGGTCTGGAACTCAAACCGCAGTCAGCCATGTGGGAGTCCAGCAGCCCCTAACCACCACGCCGCCTGCTGGCATCCACAATTTTTTAACCTGTAATCTCCAGATGGGAATTTAGATTATTTCTAATCTCTTACTATAACAAAATAACTACAAATATTCTTCCAGTTTAGGAAGTGATGACTTAAGCTAAGTATGATTCAAATTGCCTCTGTTCTGGTCTAGATTCCTTGAAAGTTCTCCTAACTCTAAATTCTTTTTGTGCTAGGATGTGTCCTTTATAAGGTTCCTTTTCTCCATCTCTGCTTATGAACTGTCTAAAACCAAGTACAATCTTATCATTGTAAAGCATCATCTCTTTAAGAAGTTATGTGAAAATAACCTAAGACTTTTATCATGGAAGATATTTGCATTATTTACCCTTCAGTTTCACATACATTCTGCTGTTGCTGGGGCATGGTAAGGCTGTTTTAAACTACCCTACCTCTGGTAGAAGGGGGAAATGTCTGACTGACATCCAAGCGGAAATGGAGATTCCACAGTTCTTCCTCTCCTTCATTAACCTCATCCCACCTCTAAGGACTTTACCCTGAAGTGGGGTATGAATTGCCACTAGCTAGCTTTTCCCTTACTGCAGTAGTTCTAACTGCTGTTGTTAAAAACATTTCACACCAAGTACCATTAAGCACCGACCCATAGTGCCTTTGCAACTGCAAAGGAATGCTGTTGCAAAGGCACTATGGCATTCCTCTTCCTGGAATGCTGCTAACCTTCACAAACACATGGTTTACTTTCTTATACCTTCAAGGGCTCTTTTCAAATGCTCCCCTCTTCAAAGAGTCCTGCTCTGTCTAACCTCTAACTTTTTATCTTTCTCTCTCTGCTTTTTCTTCCCCACTACCTGATCTACAATATATAGCTGTATGTCTCCCTTCCTTGAAATTAAATTCCATGAGGGGCTAGCAGATGGCATAACGGGTACATCGCTGACTCCCACATGGCTGGCTGTGGTTCAAGTCCCAGACCTAGTGGCTTGAAAATCACACTGGGTACGTGTCCAAGTGTGCCCAAGATCCTGGGAAGAGAATGGAGGAGAAGGGATTGCAGCATGGGTATCCCCCTGGAGGGAATTTCTCACTTTCCCTCTCACTCTCTTTTCCCAGTGAGTGCACACATCCTAAGGCAAAAACCTCTCCAAAATAATAAATAAATAAATAAATAAATAAATAAATTCTGTGAAGACGGAATCTTATTTTATTTGGTGCTAGCTAGTCGTTCAGTAAATTTCTGTTGACTTGTTTATTTTTAGAGGTTTTTGCCTTAGGGCATATGCCCTTGCTGAGGAGAAACAGACACAGTAAAAAGGAAAGTAAGAAATCATCCTCTGGGGGCATGGCCAGGCAATCCCTTCTCCTCCATTCCCCTCTTGGGATTTTGGACATGCATGCACACGCAACCTGGTGTGAGTTTTAAGCTGCCAGGTCTGGGACTCGAACTTGATTGCCTGCATAGGAGTTAAGCCACACAAACAT